CTTCTCCTTTCTTTGCTTTCTCATAGAAACATTTCTTACAATCCGATTTTGGAGTTTCAGACAGACCTCTTTGATAACCTGCATAAATTAAAATCACTGTAAGTTGTTTTAACATTTAACTGTATTTTTTTTTCTATACTGATATTTGTATAGGAGTCAAATTAAATACCTTTTGCCTGTGTAGCAGAGCTAGTTCGGATACGGTGAAGTCACCGCCCTCCCTGCGCGTAGCAGTGACCTCGGCTGCCTGGGCTGGGGGGTCTCCTTTAGCTCATGTGGCTAGCTCCCTGTTGCATTTCGCCGGAGACCCGGGTTCGCGCCCCAGGTGCTGTGGGACGGAAAGGGTGGCAAAGGGCACGAGCCTGCGCGGAACCGCGACGGTCACACATGCGTGTTTAATATATGATACTGTAACAAATACGCCCCTGCGCATGACAGGGATCTTGGCCACCCAGGCTGAGGAAGGTTTTCTTTAGCTCAGTCAGCAGTCCCCTGGCGAGCGACGCTAGAGACCCGGGTTTGAGCCCATGCGATGAGGGACGAACTGGGGCGGGAGCGATGAGGGCACAAGCCCAAGAACCCAAATCTGTTACAATACCTAATGTTAGAAATACTTGATAAGTGTCATTATATTTTTGGCTCCATTTCTTATGTACATTAATTATGGTACTTTTAATATTAATTATATCCACACCGAAACATGCAAATCCATACACTTGAAGATCATTTCTCTTAATATGAATAGCTCTAGAATCAACTTAATATATTTTTAAATTTTATACATTTAGGTTACAGTCTTGCTTTAATTTTTAGAATTTCTGTCTGGATGGCTGTTTATACAAATTATTTACTAATTTTGTCAATTGTAATTCAGGTAAAATCAAATATGTATCAACTTTTATTTTTACAATATTACATGATATTGGTGTTTATGTTTTATATGTGGGGCTAGTACTATTAAAGCAATCAACATATTTGCCTATTCATTATTTAAGTTATAATTAACATTATGTACAATCCCAGTGAGCTACGGATGTAAAGGTTTTACAGTGGCGTTTTCATCGTGCATCAGGAGAGATACAGTATATAAGCTTTACACATTTGGCAGAAACCACTTGACTGATCTTTACTACAAATCATGCAAATTAAAAAGCAAACATTCTGAGTGGAATGTACTCTGAAATTTGTTATTTGCTGTTTTTAGAAGCATAGAAGGAATTGAGATTGCTAACATACAAAGAAGAATGTTTGAACCTCTGAAAAACTTGACCCACATGTAAGTAGTTTTCTTTATTTTATAATATTAAATATTAAATAATAAATACTTAATTTTTAAAAGTATTTTTACATGTTCTAGATGTTAGTAGTGTAAATAGTCTCGTTTTTCAGATATTCAGATATTTA